TTCGAATGCTTGGGGACAGTGCCCTACAATGACCTTACAGCATCGGATATTGACATCGGCACGGTAGAGTTCACTGATCACTTCTTGGATGAAGTAGCTTGCGAACATTTGGAGGGCCTCCGTTTGCTGACAGTACCGCCAGAACCATGGAACCCGGTAGCAGCACGACGTCAGGTTGCGTCTTCGGCTTTGGAACCTCGGGGGGCTTCTGCAAAAGACACTCCGGCACTGGCCATCACTGATCCAACAACGGAGCCTACAGACTATGCTTTGGCTTTGGCTTTTTCGACAGGCTTGAAGCCCACGCAGCAGGAACTAGTGGATGACCCACCGCAGCCGGAAGAGCAATGCGAGCAAACTCAGGTTTCAACAGAACTGGCAGTGCTAGATGTACCGGCTTCAAAAACTCTGCCTGCCCAAGAGATCGTCTCAGAGATGGCGCCAGTGCAGCCAGTTCTGCCAAGCACGGTGCAAGTTCCTGTCCAGGCGGTTCCTGACAACTGGTTCGCTGATGCGGTTAGCCCAGTGGCAGAGCGGCCAGCGCTGCCGCCAGTGCCGATGCGAGAGCTGGAGGATGCCTCTGGGGGCCTCCCTACAATTCCATCCGGACGTGGAGTGGGGCTTCCGGACCCAGACACTGACCTCGCCCTTCCAGATCCAACTCCCAAGCTGGACTTGGGAAGTTCTCTCCTCTCCTCCACTGCGGCAGACACTTGGGCCCCGACATTGGAGGAGTCTCAGAGCTTGAGCATGGCGAAGACAACCATGGAATCGCAGGCCTCCGGTCAGAGACCACTGCAAGCCTTCGCGTCAGCGCAGAGCACGACTTTCTTTGCGCAGGTGCCAACCGAGACTTTCCAAATGCAAACCGTCGAAGTGCAGGCCCAGCCCGAACCTACGGCACAAGCGATCGGACTTGCAAAGAGCTCAGTGCAGCTGCCTGAAGCTCCGAATTCCCAGAGGTCGCTGCGCTTCGAGGACACCCAGGAAGCCCAGCAGTCGCCGAGTTCGCAGAACGCCCGAAGGAACGGATCCGAGGATGAGAGACCTTCCACATGGAGAACAGAGACTCGCAGCTCCGATGCCGAGCAGAGCATGCGTTCCGCCCAGGAGCCCCAGGAGCCCAGCAGACGTGCTCCAACAGGGGCGGGGGCGGTCCCACCCCTGCCTCTCAGTGGTCTCAACGAGTCCGTTCGCCAGCCTCAAGAGCCTTTTCGCATGGACATGGCTGGTCCAGCAGCTTACAGTGCCAGCCAGGCATCGCGCCAATTTGCTGCCATCGAGGAGAACATGCGGGCTGCGTCTGCAGGGCTCTTCCCTAGGTGGGGCTCCGAAAGCTACCGCATGGGCCAGATTCAGCGAGACGACTTCGCGTACGAAAGCAGCCTTCCCGGCTTTCCTTTTCCTTATGATGATAGCCTGCCAGATGCCTTGCAAGAGCAGATAACAGCTTTCTATCACGAGCTTCAGGAAACCAAGGCGCGTCAGAGACGTGCAGAACGCGACAATGACGAGCTGGTCGGCTACTTGGCTGCTCTCTTGGGCGAGCCGGACCATGCAAACACGCGTTTGGATGCACGGACACCTCTGGGATCCAGCCGAGCAGAGGACGTGGTCAGGCAAACTTTGCCAACGCCGCCAGCACCAGAGTTTCAGACGTTAGAGCAGCCACCACCACCACCGCCACCGCCTTCGCAGCCGTTTCAGGATTTGCTGTCAAAGCCAATGGTCAACATCTCATTCGGGGCCGGTCCTTCGCAGGCAGTAGAGTCCAGACCTCAGCGGACCTCGGAGCACGTCCTGACAGAGTCGGTAGCATCCATATTGCCTCTGGCCTTTCGGAACTTGCTTGAGCGTCCGCAGCTGGACCGGGGCGAGCAGCTCCAGCAGCAGATGCTGCAGCAGATGCAGCAGCAACAGCAGCAGCTGCAGCAGCTGCAACAGCAACAGCTCCAGTTGCAGATGCACCTGAGCCAGGCACAGGCCAAGAATTCGACCCCGCGACCCACATCCCAGCCATCACAGCGATCCATACTGGATCAGCTTCGAGCCGAGCTGGCCGCCGAAAAACGCCAGGCTGCTCCGGCCCCCATCTCACCCGAAGTGACGGCTCTCCAGGATATGCTAAAAGAGCTGCGCGATGCTGGCCAAGCCACCATCGGTCAACTCCTGGATGCGCTTCAGGATGTGCGGACTACGCAACAAAGGCTGGAACGACAAGCATTAATTCCAGCTTTGCCAGCTCCAGTGTACATCGGCGAGGACTCAATGCAGCACGGTCTCCACCCATCCATGTCTCAGCCAGTGATCCCCAAGAGCTATCAAAGCTACCAGGACACTCCCCCCGTTTCCCAGCCTCGAAAGGCTTTCGAGACCGATCTTTCGCGGAGCCCGCAGTCTGGTCTGTTCACCGTACCCGTGCGGTCTGAGGATGGTCGCAGAGCCTGGGCTCCGGCCCGGCCCTTGATCCCAAGAAGGCGGGCTGGGGCTGGCCGGGCTGGCTCCCAGCCCTCACAGGCACCGCGGGGGCCCGCCCGGGCACTCTTCGATCAGGAGATGGCCCGCTGGGATGCGAGGGCACAGCAGCTGGAGGCACAGTTCCGGCGCTTGCACGGCCCTCCAGCCCAGTGACGCCAAGCAGTGAGTTTCAATTTGTCAATGATGATGCTACTGAGCCCTCCCTTGCATGCAGAAAGGATGCTTTGCGTGGCTTTGTGCAGGGCTCTGAGCAAATGTGTACTCAAGAGGCGAACCAAATATGGGGCTCGAACACCCACCAGTTGGTCAAGGATGCCTGCGGTTGAATGCAGTGGTTGCTACTGAATGCTAGTGACTGTTGCAAAATACTGTTGTAGGATGCAAATCATTGAATGAATCATGGGGCGATATCGCCGCGACTACCCCTGAACCTGCGCCCGAGTCAGTGAGCTCCAGGCCTACGGGTGCCGAAGGGGTGCCCAAGTTCCCAAGACGCTGGGCAGCTTTTGCATACGACGTCACGTACGATTTAGCGGATGCTCTGGCAAGTCGGGGTTGAGCAGGGCTTCATCGCGACTGTTGCAGTTGCTTCGGTCGCGACTTGGATCTGCACACTGTGGTCCAGTTGCCGGACCACGTGGTAGATCCATGTTGTGATTTTTGGCATGACCGTCGGAAGCGGCTGCTACACTAACTTCACTAGTGATAGGTTACACGTTGCAAAGAAGGTAGACGTAGGCTTTGATGCTGCGCATTGAAACTGTGTCGTGGGGATGCCAGCATTTGTCCGAATACGGTTGCCAGACCCAGGAATCTATCCTCAAAGAGGCTCTCCTTTCCGACCTGTGCAGCTTGGCTTGGAGCGAATACATGTAGCTCCATGCGAGATGCACGGGCGAACAGCGACAGCAATCGATTGCAAAGTAAGCGTCCGTAGCGGTCCCCTGTTGCACACTAGTTGCGAGCAGTGCTGTATCAGAGGGATAGCTCAAGACAGTGCTTGCGCAGGCAGCTTCTGATGACATCCTACACGATAATGCCCAGTGACTGTGAAGCTCGGCGATACAATCTTGTGGGACGCTGCCGGAAGTTGATCAGCAGACTTGCGGAAGTGATGTTGCGACTTTACCTGTGCAACTCATTCCAGGACATGTATCGAGTGATTTTCCATCCCCAAATGGTCAGTGTGTGCGAAAAAGTGAACTTTGCCGTCGTGTTCTCAGGCATGCTTCCACACTGTGGCGCTACTGAATTGCTTGACTGAAAATGAATTAAGTTGACCAGGTTTCTGCGTCCTTCTGTGATTCGCCGGCAGTCGCTATCTACGCGAACCTAGCCAAGCCTGCAGGCCGGGAAATCAACTGGTTGTTGCCAGTAGTTCGTTGCAATTTCATTCAGGAATCGGAGACCGCTTCAACGTTCGGATTTTCGTGGAGCCGACGGACGGGTCTGCACAGTTTCGAGTCCTCTACCTCTTTACCGCAGCGGCCTGGCAAAATTCAGCTACAACTGTTTAAATTGCTGTCACTGAACCACTACGTACGACTTTTCGTACTACCACTGCTACTGCTCCTACTGCCGACTCATTGCCCTGCGGAGCTGTCATAATCATAGGCGTGCTAGGTGGGTGACCACAGCCACACCTGCTGCTGCTGCTGCTGCTCAATGCTCCCAGGAAGGCCCATAAGACCAGCCACACTCTAAATATCGGCACGATGAACAGGGTTGACCATGCATTATTGTGCAAAGTCTGGGTGGTCAGCTTGTCAACGGCCGTGAGCGTTGTTTCGTTACTTTGCTGGTCGCCACTTGTTATCATGCATTCACAACTATTCCGGTTTCGCGCTAGATATATTCGAAGCAATCTTTTTGACACATGCATCCTGGCAGTGATGTCTCTGTAGACAACCCGTTGCCGATGAGCGCAGTTGTTTGGTAAGGCCAGCGGCGCTGCGGGCCAAGGTGTGGGCACCATGGCAGTGCCATGGCGGCGCTTTGTTTGTCCATCAAGGGCGAACGCCCGATCAGCCTTGATAGAAGCATGCACTAAGCACTGCAAGGGTGCAACTGTCAAAGGCCTTCCTGGTTTATGGTGCCCCTCCTGGGCAGCTCTACTCAGAGGTCTAGAGTCGACGGTGACGTTTTCCTGATACAGAGCCAGGGTGCACGAGACCACTCAGATATTCTGAGAACCTCACTGCTCGCAGGACATCTCCGCCTGTGCAGTTCCCGCCTTCGCGGCTCTGGAGGCCTTTGCTGCCCGCGGGGCCGCAAAGGCAGACAAAGCACTGGACCTCACCAGGCCGCTGAAGAGCACTGGCACTGGCATTCTCGTTTCTTGTTTGTGGGGTGCGTGCCTCCTTGACTCGAGTCAACAACCATTCATAGAGCTGCCAGGTGTGAGCGAACTTCTGCCTGACCAATGGGCGCTGCCAGTGAAAAAGCTGCGACCAGCTTTCGCTTTCGTGAGGGGAGCCGCGCAGAGGCAGCGTTAAAGTCTGTTGCCCAAACCCAAACTGCAGGAGCCATTCTCGCAAGGAGGCTCGCTGGGGGCCGAACTTTGAGTCTGTGAGCAGGGCCCTTTTTCGCCGTCAGAGTGACAGGCGGGAAGCAGAATCCTTCGAAGGCTCGGCCATGAAAGAGCAGTTTTCTCGAATGCTGTCTCGTGTTCCGGGCATCGATAGCCCATGTCCTGAAGCAATAAAGATATGCCTCAGATGTATTACCTCTCCGTCCATGATCGCAGGGCCTAGGGCCTGCGGTTTGAAAATGCGCCCGGCAGAACGAGATATGATATAATAGCTGAAGTAGACGGACCAGTTGTCGGAGATCTTCGTGCCTTTGCAAGTACGAGAGTCGAGAGCAAACTGGCTACCGCTCAGTGCCAGTGCGGCACTGAATCGTCGCTGTCAGAGCCCACGACTTCGATCAGAGAGCATATTATATAGAAATCGTCGCAGCATTTGGCGAAGTACTAAGTCTGCATTGTCGCGATACCAAGTCCAGAGTCACTCCAGCCTGCCACTATGCTGTAGATGTCACGTTCGACATCTCACACGACCACGATAAGCCGAGAAGCAGCTCTCGCAAGCCGCGGAGTTGCAGAAAACGTTTGCGGAGGCGCAAGCAGAAGCCGCCGCAAAAGTTGCATTCAAGGTTTTAGCCGCCATGACTGGCAGAGAAGAGAGGGCTGAGAAAGAGAAGCAGCCAGCAGAGGCGTCCGCAGCCGCACTGATCGAGAAAGCCCAGCAACTTCTAGCAAAGAAAAGCTCTTCTGCGATCGACGCGTTCTCTGCGCAAGTTCTTGGCAAGATAAAGGAAGAGGTCATCGACAAGGAGACACATAAAGAAAGTCTGCGAGCCGAGCTCTTGCAAGCAAAGCAACAAGCCATGGATGCTGTAGCAGTCAGAACAACACATGTGCAACCGACGTTTGCGCAGTTGCGGAAAACTGCAGGGGAAACAAAGGTATCACCCGTGGAGCAAGGAGCCGCGGAAAGGTGGACCTGGTATCGTTTGAAGCCTCAGAGGACAAGGTGAAACACATCGTTGACGGTCCTGGCGACGCGGGCCCTAGTGGTCGTGACCGGGCAGGCGCAAATCAGCACAGAAGACAAATTCACATCGCCGACCACGGATAACGTGAGACATCCGTGGCGAAGGTGACGGTACATGCTGTCCACTGACTGCTGAAAATAGCTGTTTTGGCAAACTGTGCTGCTTTCCTTCACGACAGCCGTCATTCGAGCATGTTCCAGCACGGAGCTGTGCCCTAGCATGAAGATGCGATTTCCCGATCAAAAATGACCAAAAATCTATCAAAAGTGATGTGCCGACTGTATAATTGTTTTAGGACGTGGGTGCATAAAGGGAGTTGCAGTTTGTCATCAGCTGTCTTTGGAGGATGAGCTGAGGGTCGCCGAGCAGATCATTGATGGGGTGCAGGGCCAGGCACGCCCGGTTGCAGAGCCTCGGATCACTGAATATGGGGTTTCCGAAAATAGGGGAGCCTAATATAGTACCCTCAGTAGTAGGATCCTTATTATGAGTACCCCAAAATATGGTAGCCCTCATTTTCGGAAACTCCCATATATTCTTCAGGCCACCTGCACCCGCCATCGTTGCCCATACCGCTTTAAGCTTCAGCTGCTTGCTGCTAGGGATTCTTGCTGAAGGCCTAAAGTCTCCCCCCGGCCACGTGTCGCTTAGGGTTCCGAGCTGCCCATGTATACCGAGCCTTTTCTTTACTTATGCTACTGTTTGCAGTTAAAGGTGCCGTCAAGGCATCGGGGGTTTTCGTTGATTCGAAGCTGCTATTGGGATTTGTGTATTCCCTCTTGGTGTTTCGATGATGGCAGGAAACCTACGAGGATGGATCCTCCTATGAGGGCCAGTTGGCAGACGGTAGGCAAGCGCCCAAGTCTGGTATTGTTTTGGCTTGTCTTCGAAAGCGGGGGTTCCTCAGGGCCTCTTCAGCAGCAAAGGCATTCGTTCTTCTTCATTCCTATTCCTTTCCACTTTTGAAAGAGAGGGTTGTCTCTCGAACGTGGCCGAAATCAGTAGGGTCTCAAAAGGACGGCACATCCGTCGCAGCTGGCAGGGGGGCCTTCGCAGGTCAAGTGTAGCGTGGAGCGCCGAGGAGTTGGGAGTTTCCTAGCATTCAGGACTGGGTTCCGATTGCAATCGATCCTCGACTCCGATTCGGCACTGGGAGCCGCAAGCCAACTGGAAAGCTCCCTGTTGCCGAAGTGCCCAGTTTCAAAAAGTCTTGCTGGAGATCAGCTCAGGTTTCTCGGCTCGATCTTTTGGGACATGGGTTTCTAAAGGTTTGGGCCACTACTGTAGGGCCCGGTTTGCCCAACAGACCTCTGACCCTCGAGACTTTACGAGGCGGCATGGTCATGGCACCTGGACCTCGGTGGCTGAGCAGTACTGCGGACAATGGGTGTGGCTTTGTCGCACTTGCGGAACTTCCACACTTTTGAGCAAACAGCTTGAGTGTGCCTGGATGTACCTTGGGATGTAGTACACGCATGGAGCGCTATAGAACTGCGCTTGACTATATAGCCCGTGAGTGCCCATGAGTTGTCAACATATGACTTGACAAGCACGATTCTGCCCTGCATGTAGTCTCTTCGTTGCTTTGCTGGCGAAGCTCTCAGCAGGCATGATCAGCGACACGGAAAGGCACGGCCACTTGTTTTCTGTTTCAAGCGGACGTCGAAGATCACAGTTGCATCAAATCGTACAGTGCACGTCCGGCTTTCTGATTGTGGCTCAGCTTCAGAGAGCCCGCACAATTGTAGGGTTGAGGGTATCCACGCAGCAGTCGGCATGGGCCTGCTCTTCAGCAAGGTGTGGCAGCGCATGGTTGGCTCCAAGGAGATGCGGATCCTCATGTTGGGCCTGGATGCAGCCGGCAAGACCACAATCCTCTACAAACTGAAGCTGTCGGAAGTTGTGACAACAGTCCCAACCATAGGCTTCAATGTCGAGACCGTGGAATACAAGAACATTACATTCACTGTTTGGGACATCGGCGGCCAGGATAAGATCCGCAAGCTGTGGCGCTTCTATTATGATGCCACTGATGGCCTCATCTTTGTTGTAGACAGCTCTGACCGTGATCGCATCACTGATGCAAAGGAAGAGCTGCAGCGGCTACTCGGCGAGCCAGCGATGGAGAACGTAGCTTTGCTGGTGCTGGCGAATAAACAAGACCTCCCGAATGCAATGCCTGCGAACGAGATCATGCATGCGCTGGAGCTCCAAAAGATGCAACATAGAAAGTGGTTCATCCAATCCACAACAGCCCCCACGGGCGATGGCCTGTACGAAGGCTTGGATTGGCTTTCCCGCGCCCTCTGCTCGAAGTGAGGCCAATTGAAGCTAGTTTTGTCTTGTCTCCGCATCTGAGGCCTTTGCAGCCTCGCTGCAAACAGCGAGGAGGGCCGTGTCCTGTGCAGAAGTGTCGGAGACTCTTTTGATTTTGGATAGTCAGAGTCAGAGGATGTCAGAGGCCTCGCTGACGAGGTCTCTCGGTTTTGTGGCCTGTGCAGCCTCGCAGCTGCGAGGGGGGTCGTGCTCCTTCTGGAGATCAAGATTTCCTGGAGGTTTGTACAGTCGCAAGTTGGATGTAGCGAACGCGAAGGTGAGATAGCGAAAGGGAGCACACATGTTGCATGCGCTCATCTGCTGAGCTCCAGGGTCGATTGAACGTGCACGCCCGGCTTTGTGACTCGCTCAGCTTCAGAGAGCCCGCACAATTTTAGGGTTGAGGGTATCCGCGCTTCGCAGCAGTCGGCATGGGCCTGCTCTTCAGCAAGGTGTGGCAGCGCATGGTTGGCTCCAAGGAGATGCGGATCCTCATGTTGGGCCTGGATGCAGCCGGCAAGACCACAATCCTCTACAAACTGAAGCTGTCGGAAGTTGTGACAACAGTCCCAACCATAGGCTTCAATGTCGAGACCGTGGAATACAAGAACATTACATTCACTGTTTGGGACATCGGCGGCCAGGATAAGATCCGCAAGCTGTGGCGCTTCTATTATGATGCCACTGATGGCCTCATCTTTGTTGTAGACAGCTCTGACCGTGATCGCATCACTGATGCAAAGGAAGAGCTGCAGCGGCTACTCGGCGAGCCAGCGATGGAGAACGTAGCTTTGCTGGTGCTGGCGAATAAACAAGACCTCCCGAATGCAATGCCTGCGAACGAGATCATGCATGCGCTGGAGCTCCAAAAGATGCAACATAGAAAGTGGTTCATCCAATCCACAACAGCCCCCACGGGCGATGGCCTGTACGAAGGCTTGGATTGGCTTTCCCGCGCCCTCTGCTCGAAGTGAGGCCATTTGAAGCTAGTTTTGTCTTGTCTCCGCATCTGAGGCCTTTGCAGCCTCGCTGCAAACAGCGAGGAGGGCCGTGTCCTGTGCAGAAGTGTCGGAGACTCTTTTGATTTTGGATAGTCAGAGTCAGAGGATGTCAGAGGCCTCGCTGACGAGGTCTCTCGGTTTTGTGGCCTGTGCAGCCTCGCAGCTGCGAGGGGGGTCGTGCTCCTTCTGGAGATCAAGATTTCCTGGAGGTTTGTACAGTCGCAAGTTGGATGTAGCGAACGCGAAGGTGAGATAGCGAAAGGGAGCACACATGTTGCATGCGCTCATCTGCTGAGCTCCAGGGTCGATTGAACGTCCACGCCCGGCTTTGTGACTCGCTCAGCTTCAGAGAGCCCGCACAATTTTAGGGTTGAGGGTATCCGCGCTTCGCAGCAGTCGGCATGGGCCTGCTCTTCAGCAAGGTGTGGCAGCGCATGGTTGGCTCCAAGGAGATGCGGATCCTCATGTTGGGCCTGGATGCAGCCGGCAAGACCACAATCCTCTACAAACTGAAGCTGTCGGAAGTTGTGACAACAGTCCCAACCATAGGCTTCAATGTCGAGACCGTGGAATACAAGAACATTACATTCACTGTTTGGGACATCGGCGGCCAGGATAAGATCCGCAGGCTGTGGGGCCACTATTATGATGCCACTGATGGCCTCATCTTCGTTGTAGACAGCTCTGACCGTGATCGCATCACTGATGCAAAGGAAGAGCTGCAGCGGCTACTCGGCGAGCCAGCGATGGAGAACGTAGCTTTGCTGGTGCTGGCGAATAAACAAGACCTCCCGAATGCAATGCCTGCGAACGAGATCATGCATGCGCTGGAGCTCCAAAAGATGCAACATAGAAAGTGGTTCATCCAATCCACAACAGCCCCCACGGGCGATGGCCTGTACGAAGGCTTGGATTGGCTGTCCCGCGCCCTCTGCTCGAAGTGAGGCCATTTGAAGCTAGTTTTGTCTTGTCTCCGCATCTGAGGCCTTTGCAGCCTCGCTGCAAACAGCGAGGAGGGCCGTGTCCTGTGCAGAAGTGTCGGAGACTCTTTTGGATAGTCAGAGTCAGAGGATGTCAGAGGCCTCGCTGACGAGGTCTCTCGGTTTTGTGGCCTGTGCAGCCTCGCAGCTGCGAGGGGGGTCGTGCTCCTTCTGGAGATCAAGATTTCCTGGAGGTCTGTACAGTCGCAAGTTGGGTGTAGCGAATGCGAAGGTGAGATAGCGAAAGTTAGCACACATGTTGCATGCGCTCATCTGCTGAGCTCCAGGGTCGATTGAACGTGCACGCCCGGCTTTGTGACTCACTCAGCTTCAGAGAGCCCGCACAATTTTAGGGTTGAGGGTATCCGCGCTTCGCAGCAGTCGGCATGGGCCTGCTCTTCAGCAAGGTGTGGCAGCGCATGGTTGGCTCCAAGGAGATGCGGATCCTCATGTTGGGCCTGGATGCAGCCGGCAAGACCACAATCCTCTACAAACTGAAGCTGTCGGAAGTTGTGACAACAGTCCCAACCATAGGCTTCAATGTCGAGACCGTGGAATACAAGAACATAACATTCACTGTTTGGGACATCGGCGGCCAGGATAAGATCCGCAGGCTGTGGGGCCACTATTATGATGCCACTGATGGCCTCATCTTCGTTGTAGACAGCTCTGACCGTGATCGCATCACTGATGCAAAGGAAGAGCTGCAGCGGCTACTCGGCGAGCCAGCGATGGAGAACGTAGCTTTGCTGGTGCTGGCGAATAAACAAGACCTCCCGAATGCAATGCCTGCGAACGAGATCATGCATGCGCTGGAGCTCCAAAAGATGCAACATAGAAAGTGGTTCATCCAATCCACAACAGCCCCCACGGGCGATGGCCTGTACGAAGGCTTGGATTGGCTTTCCCGCGCCCTCTGCTCGAAGTGAGGCCATTTGAAGCTAGTTTTGTCTTGTCTCCGCATCTGAGGCCTTTGCAGCCTCGCTGCAAACAGCGAGGAGGGCCGTGTCCTGTGCAGAAGTGTCGGAGACTCTTTTGATTTTGGATAGTCAGAGTCAGAGGATGTCAGAGGCCTCGCTGACGAGGTCTCTCGGTTTTGTGGCCTGTGCAGCCTCGCAGCTGCGAGGGGGGTCGTGCTCCTTCTGGAGATCAAGATTTCCTGGAGGTTTGTACAGTCGCAAGTTGGATGCAGCAACAAACGGATACAAGAATCCTCTTGCGTACTCTTAAATTCTCGGCAAAACAACGTCTTCGGGGTTTGTATGTGTCGACTTGATGCCAAGCCTGGAGGTGATTGCAGTAGGACTGCAGTCTCAACTCTCGAAGTCTGGACAGGGAAAGCAAACATGGCAAGACGGCCGAGCATACGAGGGAAACTTCAAGCAAGGCCACTTGGCAGTGAGAAAAGGTTGGAAGAGATCCGGTTTCTTCTGACTTGCTTAAGGACTTGTGAGTTTCCAGCTGGTTTGAGCTGGAGGTGCAGGGGAACAGCAGCCATACGACCGCGCGGATCCCGCATGTTTCAAACGCTTCTCACGTCTTACTTAGGCAAGTTCCACGGCAAGGGCCGCAACTGGTCTGCAGCAGGGGTAGGATTTCAGGTTTGATGGACCTGGACGGACCCTAAGTCCCAACCGTCATTGTCGTGCTGCTCAGGCATGGAGTGGCACACGCCGAAAGGCCCTGCACATCGTGCGGTTGCTGTGCACTACTATACCGTCGCGGCCACGAGAAGAGCCAATACTTATACTTACTAGAGTCTCTGGTAAGCCAAAACTCGAACCATGTGCTACCGAGACGTTCATTGCTCATCTGTAGGTTTGATGTTGTACGATGGCGAATACTTCGAAGACTTGAAGCACGGACACGGTGGCTTGAATGCATTGGTTTTGGACCATCGCCGCCCCTTGAGTTGACAATGTGTTTGGCTGCCAAGGCAAATACATCTGGCCGGACGGTCGCAAGTACGAAGGCGGCTGGAAGGCCGAGCCGCGTATTGCAGGATAAGTCTGGCGCCCTCTAATGCTCGTAGAAAATATAAACATGAAACATGAAACTCTGTGTGTGTAGCGCTACTTGACGATGGGGATGGACGGACGGAAGGATGGACGGATGCACGGACGGACGGATGGACGGATGGACGGACGGATGGACGGACGGATGGGCTGATGGACGGATGGACGGATGGACATATGGACGGATGGACGGACGGACGGACGGAGGGAGGGATGGATGGATGGATGGATCTGTGGGCCTGACTTGGTCAAGCTAACTGCCAACAATTTACATGTTGATACAGTGTGGATATGTGCTAACTGTATGTAATATGAGTGGGTGAATTCAATTGTCAATGCGTACAGTCACTATTCACTGACTATTTGTCTTGATACCGTTTGGTTTTTGACACTTTCGGGACACTCGGGCTCTAGCTTATTCTGCCATGTCCAGGAGGGCTTGCGATGTGGGCCAACGCCTCAGCTCAGAGAGTCGGGTTTGTTGCTGCGAACGTCGTAGCGTTGAAATCAGTTCCCTTTTGTGCCTTGTCTTCGCCCCAGGCAGGCGACCTACACAAATGCCCAGGGCCAGAGCCGAACAGGCATTTGGAAGGATGACAAGGCCATGCGCAAAGGAAGGGCTTCAGTTCAGGCTGGTCACAATCCGGCAAGGGTGCGCGGCACGATTTGTCCCAAGGCTGTCGTATTTGCTGCTCCTACTGGTAGTGTCAACGGCAAGACAACATGTTTACCGCTGGCGCCAGAGCCAGGACAAGGAGTTGCAAGTGTACTTTAGCATCAAGCATGGGTACAATGCGGTGCCCGCGCAGGTTGAGCGGTGGCTGGACGATGCTCCACCTTCCGCTGTCCCTCACTAGAGGCCAGAGCCACGATAAGCATTTGTCACGTTCGCATGCACATACATACATACTGCATACGCGTGGAGGGTGCATTATATTATTTGTCACGGCATGCTGCTGTGTGTTGCTCGACATGATTTCATGGATGCCACTCAAGACGAAGCTGCAGGCTTTCAGCTCGCCCGAAGGCCCTGTCGATACGACGATCCGACAAGTGATCCAGCGCAAAGGCTTGCAGAAGCTAGGCGACATGCTATAGTGTGCTGAGCTTGCCGGAGTGTAGTGTCATGTACTGTCAGCGAAGGGCCTTTTGATCGGAATCATGCAGTCGAGCTTCCTATCTGTTGCAGTTTCTTCTAGACGAGCGATGCAACAGCCACAGCCTGCAGGCCCAGTGTAGGAAGAAATTCGATGGGTTTTGCGGCATAGTTCGTGCATAGTGAAAGTCCCTGCCTGTGGCCCAGTCACGAACAATAAGAGCCATGGTGCGATGTGGATCTGCGCAGGTTTCAAAACATTGGCTGGTGGCTCGGGACTGTCATCAATGTGTCAGCACCGGCCGAAATGTAGGCCGTGATTTCACCCTTCGCAGAGCTTGCGGTAGAGGTCCGAACTTAGTGGGCCTGATACTGACCGTGAGCCCTTTGGCTCGCGACATGGTCAAAGTTCATCCGGGTTCAGGGTTTAGGATGCAAGTTCCTGGCCTATGCGTAGTCCAGGTGTAAAAAGGATGCAGACTTGCTTTGCGAACCTCGACTGTTGGCAGGTTTCTGTCAGGTGAGGCCTTGACTGTCTCTTGTCCTGTCCCCGATGACACCGGGCCACTACACTCTAGACCCCAAGTAGAACTGGAGCTCAGAACTAACTAACTTTGTTCCGGTGCCGGCAGCCCCCAAATGGACACCCCAGTAGAACTCGAGCCCGGCAGACTGGACCCAGAGTGGAACCCAAGACTCCGACAGCGGCCCGGCACCTGCACTGCGCAGCTGAGAAATTCGGTTTCATCCTCTGTGGATCGATGCGCGTCCAGGACAAAGTTGCTTGGGTCTAGGGTGGGTGAGGTTCTGGTCTGCAGCTCCGCAACCAGATAGACAATCGCAACACACTGAAAGGGTTTAGGGGCATCTCTCTTCACTTTTCAGAATTAAGGTTTATTGAAAGGTTTGGGCAAGGTGTACTGCAGCTCTGGAGGTGATGTTAGATGCACCAACACCCACCATTACCTCCAAAATGATTATGCAAGGTCATGATTGATGCTGCAGCTTCTGTTTGACGGTTCTGTTGGGGCGGTTTTGCGGGTAGCCCGAGATGTCGTCTGTGCTTGCCAAGGCCATCGTGGAGTTCATGGAAATGTCGTTGTTCATGCCTCTTTCTCATTCACATAGCACGACCCTCTTCTCCCAGTGCTGTACCGCTGTCTGATTTCGTGGTACCCCCGTGCTCTGCGTTGGTGCTCTGCAAGAGCTTCGCATACGGCTTGGCTGGCAGGTGCTGGGCCTCACCTTCCTATCGACGCAGGTGGCCGGCCTTCGCATCAATCCGCACATCTTGTTTTGTTGAGGCTGCTTTGCATACAGGAACTCAAGACACTTAGTTTTCGTCTCTGGCCAGGTGCCTAATCGGAGCGCTCCACGTCATGCTCTCACCCAACCTCATGAAAGCAAGCCGGGGCCTGGAGTAAGAATGTGTGGACATGGAAAAAGTTCGTCGTACTTGTAGCATGACCCGGCAGCAGAAATCAACATGGAATCAGTAAAGCTCCCCTTGCCCTAAACCCTTGCCCATGATGTCCAACCCATCCTAGCCTATAAGCATGCTCCACAATTTCATTAAAGCCACCTTAACAATCTACACCCTCAACCAATGAGAAGAAGCTCTGCACCCCGAGGTCTTCCTTCAGTGACTTCAGCAACGCCTTCCACGGTGCTTGCGGCGGACTTGCCGCGGCAGGCAGCGCCGCGCTGGCGCTCCGCCGCTCCCAGCGGCGGCCACGACCGCCAGGCCGGGAAAGGAGTTACAAATCATAGCGTTGTGATGTGGATGATCCTCGAAATCTTCATGGTCATCATCATTTCATCCTCTTCCTTGCCATCATCACCACCATTAGGATCTCGAAAGCAGATCATAGCCGCGCAACAGAAACGGAACAAGCTGCCCCACACTGGCGATTGCGATGGTTACCCAGTGTCATGTGTTTACACCCACCCAAACATCAAAAAGCCTCGAACAGCCATGCCTCTTTCGGATTCGACGCAGCGCCGACTAATTAAGGCGCCTTCTGGCGTTTGCTCAGCTTGCCTTCTTTCGCTTTTGCTCTTTTACCATATCGTGGTGGTGGCGGCGGTGGTGATTGTGGTGGACGTTTCTGTCGTTGAAGTCTTTGTGAAGTTGTGCTGTCCTCGCTCAGTCTGAATTATTAGTGTCGCCACCCGCCGCGCCAAATCACGACGTGAATGTCCATGTTTCTTGTTGTTTGTATTCTGAAATCGCTGCGCCCAGACGTACTAGCGGACTAGCGCAAACTGCGGGGGACTGCACTTGCCCGTCCATGATCCTCTGCCTCAACTGTGAACATTAAACCGGGGTTGTCAAGGGGATGCTGCTGTCGATCTGGAGGGGCGAGCAGCTCTTTCCGGGCTTCTGTATTGCTCGAAGTCTGGAAGTGTGTAGCCTCGCCCAAAGCATGCAAACTCTTATCTTGTTTTTGAAGCAGAGGGACATTCCAAAGTTGCCCTGTCGCAGTAACCAGCGGCTGGCGGAAGTGGCTGCGCAGCACAAGACCTGCAGAGGTCTCGCCTGCGAGCACAGGCCCCGTAGTTGACGGCAAGATTGTTCATGCGATGCCAGCCGCGCATAGATTTGAGGCACCAGCACAGACGCTCCTCCGACTCCGTTGGTCCTGGTGGTGAACTTGGACCGGAGTCCAGCCCGATGGGAGTCTGCCCAGGACGGCATGCCCTTGCACTGCCTTGCACCGTTGCGCAGAGTTGTCATGGACAGTCAACGACAACGAGCCTTCTGCTTGCGGCCAGGTGGAGTTTGCGCGTGAGGACTTGAAGGCCACGGGCAGGGCTGCAGCTGTGTGGTCGTGGCCACGATGATGAAGCGACGGTCTTTGCATGCCTTGTTAAGGTATACAGAGAACTAGACCGTGTAACCAAACGGTGCCACTGTGCCTGCGGATGGTTGACAGAAAAACGCGGTTCGAGCAAGCTCCGCGGATGTAGAACGCTGAAACTAGCACTAGCACCGCAAACAGGAGTAAGCACAGCAGTCAGTGCAACACAGTAAAACCTCCATTTTACATCTACATCCGTATCTTGATCTGGCTACCTATTCTACCGTTCCATCGATCCGTCTATCTACTTGTTAATGATATCTAATTAATTGCTCAATGTTAGTAGTGACAAGGCTGTCACGCGTATTCAGCTGGCTTGTGATCTGATGCGGCGACACCGCAATGCTTCGGCGATAGTTGTGTCCTAAGTGTCTTATCGACAAACTTGACAACCTTGGCAGCAATTTGCCGTGTGCCACTGAAGGGCTTTCACGGTTTGGGAGCAGGAGTTCAGAACTCTTGAACTTTCTAGCGAAAGGTAGCATCGACCTCCGAAGCTCGCAGCCCGAGATCTTGAAACAGATACAGGTCGAGCGATTCCCGGGCACGGATGGGAAGGCTATGACCCACGAGCAGCTGAGGGATGTGGCGACATGTTCGGACCTCAGAGCATGGAGACTTGAGGCCTCAAGTGCACGTTTTCAACCGGTGGTTAGCAGAGAAGTTTAGCTGGAAGAAGGCTTCGTTCGAGATCGTCATGCTTACCCGGGCCTCCAGGTCATTCTGCTAGGGAGATCTCAAGCACGAAGGTTATCCCGAGCAAGGGTTGGCAGCACGCGTTGCTCAGCCGGGCACAATCTGCACAGCGCTGCATTGAAGGGCTGTGTTGTCTGCAGGGTCAGCGCGATGGCCGGGAGCCCGAACGCTGCTGTTGACCCTGTGGACTCAAGGAAAGCTGGGAGAGTTCAGGGCCAGGGAAGAGAGAGCTCTGAGGCTGGAGTTGTTCGGAATCTAGCCGTCTTGACCTGCAGCTGGCAGAGAGGTTAGCCTCAAACACCGAAGGTCACCAGGAATAGTGAAGAGTGCAGCTCGTGCGGCTGTAGGGTTTGGATCTCACAGCCCAAGGCCGGAGCCCAAAGCTGGGGGCTACTGTAGCTGAAGCTTCTGGCAGCCACTTGGGCCCACAGCCACTGCACAGCTGAAGCCTTCTAGACTCCGACCACCTGTCCATGTTTGCACGACCTGGCTGGTAGATAGCAGATGGAGTAAGCCGTTCGGCGATGCTGCATATGCCAAACAAGCTTATGCGGGCCATAGTTTGGGTATGTTTGGATTGCACAAAGCCCGTAAAACTCATCGATCAGGGTAGAATAGCGTAGAAACCACCAGCTTCTCCTTCATCGCCTGGTGCTCGCGACGGCGAGCCGACGCTGGAGTTGGCTTCAGACCTGGGCGCAGAGCCACAAGCTCTGCAGCACCCGAGGTGGGCTTTGCACAAGGGAGGGCTCGGCTTATGTATCCATATGAACAAAAAATAAATAGATAAAAAAAATATATATATATATATATATATATATGAAAAATATATATTAGTAGCTGCCACCGATCCTCAGAGCTCTGAGCTTTCTTTCAGTAGCGCCGAGAGGATGCCCTGGCAGGCTGGAGAGCGATGGCCGAAGGGAGCCCTGGGTATCCCGAGGCTGAAGCCAAGGCCAAAGTGAAGAAGCCGAGGCCTTTGCCACCGCCACCACCTCCATCCCTCGCCACAGCGTCCATTCTGGTTCGGGGCGCCGCTGCACGTGTCCTGGGCCTGCAGCCTGGGCCCTGCGGTGGTGAGCTGCAGCCGATTTGGGTATCAGAGCCCGGATGTTCCAAGCTGACCATGAGCTTGGAGGGATCTACCCGATCACCTTTCCCCAAAGACGAGCTGCACGGTCCTCTGCTCGATGCCCTGGAGGCC